AATGTTTACAAAGTGGCAGCCGAACAAAAGAAGCAAAACCCAAACAAGAGAATTGCAAGTTCCGCTATGTAATGTATTTCATAATTACGTAAGCAAGCACTTGGATAAGAGAAATCTCACGTGCCCATATAACTCATGCTTTTACATTCATGTGTTGATTTTCTTTCTAAAAAGATGACAAATTGAAGGAACTCGTCACAAGAATAACCAAAAAATTATGAGGACCAACGCAAAATACAATAAACCTTTTTCTTACCCTACCGAAATTCTAAGATTCGTGTGTTTCGTGGGTCCGAATATAGTGAAAAAGAACAATAAGACAAAAAGATATACAAATAATAGATTATGGGTGGTATTAAAACAATGTTTGTAAAAAAGAATTGAATGTAGAAGTGATTAAGTGGAGATCAACTAGAGAAGTTGATCAGCTTGCAACAATACTCTCCGGAGCTCACTCTCCATAGCTCTCAACACCACTGGCTTTCTCACAACTCCATTGATTCCAATTTGTACACACTTGTCCCACATTTCTTCGTCCAAGCTCACCGTCATTGCCACAATCAACGGCCAAGATCTGCTCCTGATCCTCAAAGCCACTTCATAGCCGTCCATCTCTGCCATCTGGAGATCAAGCACCACCACTTGGAACGACGACGAAGAGGAGGACGAGCTGGGAGCAATGGCGGTGAGGCAATCAAATCCAGAGGATACCGCGGTTACGCTGCATCCGAGTTTTTCTAAAAGTTTACGTGTAACGGCTCGGTTCGAATCGTTGGTGTCTACCAATAAAACTTGCAAGCCACGTAATAGAGAACTTGAATGAGGGTGAGTGTGGTGGTCGGGAGCTGGCGACTCGCCCGATCCATGGATTGAAATGGAGAGTCGGCGTCGAAACCTGAGGAGCAACGACATGGTTTCTGGTGAACCGTCTAAGCCAGGGACCACCGAGATATTTCCTTGAATCAACTGCAAAGCATTAGAAAAGAATACGGAATAAGTACTCATTTTTCGTTATCCTTAAACCGAAAGCCGGACTAATAACAAGATATGTGAGACGAAACTCACCTGCACCACTTTCTTGCAAACACCAAAGCTTAGATCTTGTCCTAACCCATAGCTCGAGTATCTCATATCACCAACTTCTTGATCTCTTGACGAATCAGAGGCAAATGATTGAGAGCTTGAATCATCATTCTCTACATTCATTTCGAATCTTATGTACACATCTCCATCTGCTGAAGAAGCCGGTGATCTCCAAGCAGCCCATCTTTGATCCTTCCTATCCAAGCTTCCTCTTTCTTTCAAAACTTTAAACATCACCGACGATCCTTCTTGAGGTTTTCTAGGCTTTACTAAACTACCAACCATGTGAAGTATCACCTGAAAGACTCTTCTTTCGTCGCCTATCACATTATCCGGCAAAGACTTCTCTGCATCAACAGAAAACCGAAACCCGTTGTACAGACACAAACATCTAGCCAAACAAGCTGCTTCCCGGATAGTACGATGCAGACTAAACGGTTTCATCTCTGTTACAAATCTACCATCCGACACATCCATCGCGTCCCCAACCAAATTCGACATAACATTTCCCGTTTTCACCATCGTATCTACAATCATCTTCTGCTCGTCACTCAAATTCTCGTCCTGAATCATCGATAAAAGCCCGAGTACTGAGTGCATCGGACGTCTCAGCCCTTCACTCATCGTTTTCTGTAAAGCATTCCTTGCTTGGCTCGCCCTCATCGCGTCCCGCTTCGCCATCTGTAACGCCCTGTTCTGTTCCGCCAGCTTCTCCCTCATTAGCTGAGATTCCTCAAGAACCGCTGCGTGAGACAACGCAACCGCTACTTGATCAGCCACAACCTTGACAATCTCAGTCTCCTGATAATTCCACTCCCGAGGCTGCCCGCTCGGTAACACGCAGACAAGTACCGCATAACATGTCTGAATCAACTCCGGCGTCCCTCCTTTAAAATCCGACACACGAAGCATCGGCATTCTGATAGCAGCCACGGGTCCAATCTCACTAACATCTCCACCGCTAGCTCGAGCAATCAACGAGTCCACACTCAATACATTCACTTCATCGCTCTCTCTAACCCTCACAACATCCGAATCCTCCATCGAAACCGAATAACCATAACCAGCCCTCCCTCTCAGCTCATGAGTCAGATTCATCTCTGTTTTACCATCATTCTCCATCCAAACCGCGCAATTCTGCAACCCCAAAGTCTTGGAAAGCTCAACCAAAGTAGTATAGAGAATCGTATGGCGATCCAAAGACTTACGAATCTCTTGAGTAAGCATACGAACATGAAAGCCAGTCTCTTTCTGAATCATAATGAGTCCAACTTCACGTCCAAGCTCATGAGCTTTCTTCTTAAGCATAAATTCCCTAACTTTAACTTTCAAAAGTAGAGGAAACAGAGTGATGAGAGTAATGGCAGTAGCGCAAGAGACAAGAGCGGTAAGCAACTTGAAAACGGTCAAGGCCATCATGAGCTTGAAAGGGTGAGGACCATAAGTCCAACCATGAAGGAGATGAGTCATACCACAGAGAACAATGAAGGCGATGAATTCGAAGAGTACCCATTTGAATGGGAAGTTTGAACAGCTCACAAAGTAAAGTAATTCGATTGGGATTGAGAAATAAGCAACTGCGATTAAGAAATCACTAACTCTTTGTGTCTCTAAAATGTTCTCTGTACTCCAGAAACTTCCTCCTTCGTCTTCACAATTACATCCGACGTTTCCAGCTCCTGCCGGCGAAACCCAAATCACCACCACCGTTAATAGTATCAATAACCAACCAGAACCTATTGCTCTGCATGTAATAGAAATGTTGAGAGGAAATTGACAAAACCCATTAAAAATTGAAGCAAGTTTAGGGAAGATGACACTAAAATTGACAAGTCAAGGAAGAAACAAAGAGGAAAAGAACTAAACTTCAATTCGTAAGAAGAACATGCAAAAAAATTACCTTAAAGACATTATTTTTTGGATCAAACGTTCTCAGATCTCATCGATATGTGAAATTCCAACGCAGCGAAGTGCAAAAAGCTTTAAATTTTTTCCGGCATTTCTCCGATCTCACTCTCATAACGGACAACGAC